GGTTGACTGTGCTGGGCGAGGCAATTTTTCTCTACGGAATCTATCTTACATATCTATAAGTCTACCATTCGTCCATGCTTAGAATATTGCGAGTATATATGGTCCAGTGCCCCATGCCGGGACCATAGCTCTTTGATAAGATCCAAAGAAGAATCAAGAATATTGTTGGTCAGATCTGGTGGCTCGGCTCCAGCCACTTTCCCACCGCCGTAAGGTTGCCCCTCTGTGTTTATTTTGTAAATACTTTCATGGTAATTGTTCGGATGAGCTCTTTGCTATGGTACCTAGACTGTACGAATTTGATCGCAGTACTAGACTGGCGTCAATGTCTCATCAATTGACAGTAGAACTAGTTAGATATAGCCGTAACTTCTAGGCTAACAGTTTCTTTTCTCGCACTTCTCGCTTGTGGAACACCTTTCCGGCTTCATGCTTTCTAGCCAACTTTAATCTACAAACATTTAAATGCAATATCAATCGCTATCTACTGTCCTCCTCATTACTCTTTTGTCTTTCTGTTCATTACTAATGTTTCTGTTTCTAATTCGTCCACACCCTCTAACTCCTTACTTTGCTTGGTGTGATACCGATTACAAAAAAAAAAAAGACAAAAAAAAACTGCTTAAAATCTGGCCAAAAAAATACGACCCCCATTGGGGGAAAATGTCGGTAATGAATGAAGTATCATGTCCTCCGCCTCCTTCAGTTCTGAGTCCCCAGAGACGGACCAATCGCGAGAAAAGGTCAAAGACTGGCTATGATACGCGGGATATATGTTAGTAGAATCCTGGAGCGATAGCGAAGTGTTTGCGCGTTTCCTTTCATCTAGAAATAGATAAAAGCCTCTGATAGGTTGTTCTGGAGAAGTGGCTAAAAGCGAATCATTTTCATCAAATCTACCGTTTATAACGCATCTTATTGCAAAGTTACGAAATATAAACCTAAATCGAGCTTGAAATATTATGTAATCGGCTCTAATTTTTTTGTAAAATACTTGGATATGATTTAATGAATCATTTACGGTGAAAAAGACAATTTTTGTTTCTTTGTTGAATACGCCCTTCCTCCGCTGAACGCGTCATATGCTCGTGTATAAGTCGACTTCAAGTATAGTACGACCGCGGACTTTTCTGAATTAATTTTAACCCCTCCAGAATAATTTACTGTCATGGCGTCCTCCCCTTTTTCATATGTGGACTCGACCAAAGTGTTACTTGGACTGCTGCCGTTAATTACCCAGAGTTAGACAGTCAGTGAGAGAGTGAGTAGAGAGAGTAAGAAGACTGAGATTGTGATTGAGTTGGAGGTAGAGTAATAGTATGAGGTAACCGCTTGTAGAATTCAGTTACAAGCACGTAGACTCTAAGGAAGTCCTACTTCGAGACTGTATATATATATATATGTTATTGCTACTAACCGCGTTCCTGGATTTACCAACAGTATTACCCTTTGTATTATCGTGTAAATACATTTAATTTCTTATCTTTTATTCTTGCGTTTGTGATTCATTGGAGACCGAATTTCATCTCGGAATCCACAACATTTACCTGTAGATAGGGAAACCGATCACCAAAAATTCATGATTTTTAAGCTCTTCCAAAAATACCATTTGTAGGAGACATTGTAGGCTCCTTCTTGTGTCTGCTATCAACTGTGTCATCTGCATATCTTATGGTGTTAAGATTGTGACTGCTGTTAATGAAGCCTGGTAGAACTTCTAATTCTCTCAGAATTACCTCACTATATCCATTGAATAAATCTGGTGAGAAGACACAACCTTGTCTTCCACGTCTTTCTAGTTTATGTATACCGTATATACTCGTGTATAAGTCGATTTCATGTAAAGTGTGACTCCTGAATTTTAATCCCTCCAGAAAAATTTACCTGTATATAGGGGAACCGATCACCAAAAATGCATGATTTTTAAGTTCTTCCAAAAAATTCCAAGACTACATCCTGTAGGAATTCTTGTAATTTCTTTCCTGTGTCTGTTATTAACACCAGGTCATCTGCATATCTTATGCTATTAAGATTATAATAATGAATCCTGGTAGGACTTGTCATGCATTCAGAATCGCCTCACTGTATAGACTGAATAAGTCCGGTGAGAAGACACAACCTTGTCTTACACCCTTTTCTCATTTTTGTATATCGTATATACTCGTGTATAAGTCGACTTCATGTAGAGTGCGACCCCTATATTTTTTCGCAAATTTTGACCCTTCCATATTTCTATTAAGCTCCCAAGAAAATTAAATTTCGGCATTAAATGACCCATGAGGAATTGATATGTTGTTAAACAACCAAAACAAAGCAAACTGTTGTGGAGTTATTTCGCATTGTAGGCTTGTATTTGTACTAAATTGGTCCTAAATCTTCGACGTACAAAAACGTTAGAACTTGATATAATCAAGTAATCTTGTTGTGGTCGCACTACTTTCGTATTCGACAACTGTCGATACTTCGTCCAACATCGACTCCATTTAGTAACTGCCCCATTCAAGATTCCCGAGCCCGTAGGCTCGGCCAAAAATCCCGTACCCCGCATAAACGGGATCGGTTTGTCTACCTCCCGGACGAAACTCTACCCTTCGATAGCCTCGTCCGGGTTCCTTTCTGCGCGAGGCAAGAGTTCGACTGTCGTCCAACATCGAGTGTATCATGTGGCACAAGGCCGGTTTTACGTGGGATCTCCGAGCCCGTGGGCTCGGCCATCCCTTTGAAACCGTATAAACGGGTTCAGGGGTCGGTTTACCTCCCCGAACGAGTCTGCTCTTCGGCATAGCCTCGTTCGGGTTCCTCCTCGCCCGAAGGCAGAGAGTTCAACCGTTCATCCGGTCGTCCGACATTTTCACCGCCCTAATCCTTTTGGGATCTCCGGATACCTTTAACCCGTATAAACGGGTTCAGGGGTCGTTTACCTCCCGAAAGAGACTCGCCTTTCGGCGTAGCCTCGTTCGGGTTCCTCCCCGCTCGAATGAGAGATTCAACCGTTCAGCCGGTCGACATTTGACGATATTCAGTCACCCCACCCACACTGGGGCATCCAAAATTTATTTATTGTGGGCTCGGCCCAAAAATATGCCCATTGAACACGTATAAACGGGATCAGGTCCGGTTTGCCTCCCCGAACGAGACTCCGCCCTCGGCGTAGCCTCGTTCGGTTCTTCAGCCGTTCAGCCGGTCGTCCGACATCGACGATATTAAGTCACCCACCCCCAACGAGGGTGTCATGCGGCACAAGACCTTTTTAGGGGGTCTCTGAGCTTATGACCATTAGTTTAACCGTTCAGCCGGTAGTCCAACATCGACTTCGTTTCTCTTACTAGTCCTACTTATATTAGGTGGGACAATCTATTAACTATAGAATAGGTGTGTTTCACCATAACACAAACAAAGAATCTTTTCCATCCAACTAAAAACAAGACTTTTAGAAGGAAACCCCCGTCAATACTAGAAAGATCGATAACAGTTAGTGGACTATTTTCTTGATTTTATAAAGAATAACGCAGGTTGAATAAGTCCGGTGAGAAGAAAACACAACCTTGTCTTACACGGCTTTCTATTTTTTATATAGTGTATATACTCGTGTATAAGTTGACTTCATGTAGAGTGTAACTCTTCAATTTTTTTACGTGAATTTTAATCACTCCAGAAAAATTTACCTGTAGATGGGGCAACCGATCACCAAAAATTCATGATTTTTAAGCTCTTCCAAAAAATTCCAAAACTACCTCCTTGTAGGAGTCGATGTAGTTTCCTTCCCGTGTCTGTTATCAACACCAGGTCATCTGGATATCTTATAGTGTAAAGATTATAATAATAATGAATCCTGGTAGGACTTGTCATTCTCTCAGAATTGCTCTGACTGTATACGTTGAATAAATCCGGCGAGAAGACATAACCTTGTCTTACACCCCTTTGCACTGTTGCTCTCATGTTTATTTTCATATACCCGACGTTTCGGTCGTTGTACGCTCAGACCTTCTTCAGGTGATATACGTTGAAGCTACGAACTGAAACCGGATTAAAGTGTTCTAGTTCCACGTGCCATGCCTTTTCTGGATATGTCAGTTTTCAATAAATTCCATTTAATAAGTCTAAATATTAAAATAGGTTTTATTTAAGTTTTAGAAATAAAACTGCTCGCAATTCACGCAAATATTACGACTAAAATCAAAATCTCCTTATGGCTATTCGGGAGAGTCATTCAAAAGGCTACTTGTTTAATCTTGAAAGTTTGACTTGCCACTTTCTAAATATTGAAGAATAACATTTTTTGGCCTGTTCAAACACTCCACAGTATCAACGGAGAGTTAAAAAGATTTCTTATCTTCAGGCTTGTAGACATTCATTTTACGCTTTAAAAGAATGAGATATCAGCTCAAACACATGTACTCACTAAATATAACGTTTCTAGTTTTTGTGCAATCAATTCGAAGATCTCATTTTTAAGCCTTAGGGATATTTCAGAAGCTAGGAAAATAAGGTCCGCATTAAGTTAGGGAAAACGAATATTGGAAGGCATTGAAAAAAGACTCCTTTTCTCTTCTTTCTCCAAGCGGGGAAAAAAACAAATTTTAATGATAAAAAAAATGAGTTTGTTAAGAGAATTGAAAGCGAAGAATATTCAAAATGGCTTTCGACATCTCATCCTAAAAGGAATCTGCCGCAGGAAAACATCTTTCTTTGGTGAGATTTCAAAGAAATTCTTTCTTTCAAATTTTGATGAAACCGGGAGAAACTATTATTCGTTGTCTTCTTTCCTTCTATTTTACCACTGGCTTTACTTTATTTTTTATCTTATTTTAAAAATCTTTTTGACACTTTCTTTCTTTCTTTCTTTCTTTCTTTCTTTCTTTCAATACATACTTCTTTTTCCTTGTTTTTTTTTTTTAATTTCGTCTATTTAGGTTTCATCATTCATGTTTTTTCTCATTTTTCTTTCCCTTCTGTATATTAATCATTCTGCTATCTTTCTTTTAATGACTTTTCACTAAATGATTTCTTTCTTTCTTTCTTTCTTTCTTTCTTGCTTTCAAATATGTTTTGCTTTCTTTCATTTTTTTTATTATTTTTCTTTCTTTCATTATCATCCGTACACTTTTCTGTCCATCATTTTTATATATACATCGCCGTTTCTTTCTTTCTTTCTTTCTTTCTTTCTTTCTTTCTTTCTTTCTTTCTTTCTTTCTTTCTTTCATTTTTCATCCTTTCTTTTTTATTTCATCATTTTTTTTTCTATTTAGTTTCGTTTCGTTTCTCTCTTTCTTTCTTTTTTACATTTCACTGTCAAAACACATTTAAATATCCTTGATCCGATTGGTCAAAGACATTTTATTGGCGCGGGAAGATTGTCTATAATAAACCAGATGATTCATAAACTGATGACAATATCCCATCTCAGAACAGACGACACTGAGAAGACTGGAGAGCTTAGCTGTCAAAATACTGTCATCGATAAATTACCAAATGTAATTTAAGTAATCGAAGATACATATGATTCCAAATGCTTCATGGAATTTCATGCACAATCATTTTCTGTAGGTAATGTCAGTGAAAGTAGTCGGTTAGATTGTTCTCGAGCGTTGCCTAAAGAAATGAAAACACACGAATCGAACAGCGTAGGTTTTCGAATTTTTCTTGTAAATTCGTTGTCTTCAGTTTGCAGTTTGCTTGTAGGATTGATTTTCAAGTTAAAATGTTGGCATTAATTCGATTTTCTTCAGTTTCTTTCGAACATATTGCGATTCTACGAAGAACTTTTCGAAGATGAACAATTTTGACTCATTGAACTTCCCTTTTTTTTCCTTAAAAAGACAGTATGCGGTCGATATCAGGAATGCTGTGTTAGCTTTGATCATTGGCAAACCCCCTCCCACCAAAAACAAAACAAAAAAACAACCCCCCCCCCAAAAAAAAACCCCACTCCCACTGGCTGCATTTCCTATATAATTTCATCACGGTCCATTTTCTGTTAAACTCTCCAAGTATTGCAGATGGAGAGAAAGAGATAAAAAAATCGCTGTTTACAAGGAAGTTTTCACCAAGTTTAACTCCTCTGGGTTTCTGACGGAAGAGGTGAAAACAACACAAAAAATATCTTAATTTTGGTATTTAAATGACGTACGAAAAGCCGAATGTTCGTCTGATTTCTAACAAATATATCTCACTGATTTTGTTTCTCTTTTCCTTTATTGCCAACCGACTTGTTTTTGTTATCTGTTTGCTCCCCTCGATTCCATGATGTGAACGCTAGATTACACTGTAGCAAAAGGAAAAGACAATGGATAGCAACCATTATATTACGGTCGTTGCGAGATGTAGGCCGCCATTGATTTGCAATTTACGACCGTCTGTTTCTTTCAATTTCCGCGGCTCTTGTTTTTCGCCCGCTTCTTCATCACACCAATCCTTCGGTTCTACTCTTGACTTGGGTCTCTTTCCATGCTGATTTCTGGTTTTTCGTTATGTTTCTCCAATTATTTATTTTCTTTGCGCTTTTTTAAAAAAATTGTTCTTTTAGATCAAACACAAATGACGTTCTAATCACGCAGTTATTCGCCCTTGGCTATGTATCAAAATTGTATGAACAACACAAGACGCGTTTTTAGATTTCTTCTTATTTTTTCTTCTCTTATTTGCATCGCTTTGAACCGATCCTCAATTTTCTCAAGGAAATCTTTCTAATTCCATTCTTCACTTTTGCCAGTGATTAATTTCTTTTTGCCTTTCTTTCACTGAGTTTTCATTGGCATCTTTCTTTCTCTTTGCTTTTCTTTCCACTTTTAAATTGTTCTTGTTTTTTTCTTTTTTCTATAACTCTCATTCACTTTCCTTGTCTGTATTCTTCCCACTATATTTTTTCTTTGATTTGATCAATTTTCTTTCTTTCTTTCTTTCTTTCTTTCTTTCTTTCTTTTGTAATTAAAGTTCTATCTTCATTTTTGTCATCTAAAGTTCACTTTCATTTTTTTCATCTTTTCTTTTTTCTTTCTTTTTTCATGATTTCTTTTCATTGTATCATTTTCTTTCTTTCTTTCTTTCTTTCTTTCTTTCTTTCATGATTTCCAATTTCTTCATTGTATCATTTTCTTTCTTTCTTTCTTTCTTTCATGATTTCCAATTTCTTCATTGTATCATTTTCTTTCTTTCTTTCTTTCATGATTTCCAATTTCTTCATTGTATCATTTTCTTTCTTTCTTTCTTTCTTTCTTTCTTTCTTTCTTTTGTAATTAAAATCTTTTTTGTCTTTTACCGCAATTTTTTTCTTTCTTTTGTAATTAAAATTTTATCTTCTTTTTTGTCTCTTACCACACTTTCTTTCTTTCTTTCTTACTTTCTTTCTTTCTTTCTTTCTTTATTTTACTTCATAAATTTGTTTTTTTCTTTCTATAGACTTCATCTCCTCCCTATATAATTTAATCCTATCTTTTGAAATTTACTTTCTTCTCTTGTTTGAATTATTGTTTTAAATCCTTTTCGTTTTCTGATCTTCAATATTTTTTTAATTGTTAATTTTCTTTTTTTCTTTTACTCATAACCTTTTCTTTATTTTTGATTTTTTTTTTCGGAATCTTTCTTTAATTTTTTTCACTTTTTCTTCCCTACAACCCATTTTATTGCGATACAATACTTTCTTGTTTTTCTTTTTCTTTTTCTTTCATATTTTCCTTCTTTCCTGCTTCATCTTCTTCACAAATTTATTTATTACTTCCTTTTCCTTTAAAAAATCATTATCTTCACTTTCTAAAAAAATAGTATCAAACACACACACACACACACACACACACATATATATATATATATATATATATATATATATATATATATATATATATATAAGAAAGAAATTATCAGGAGGAAATAATCATAATGAAGTAATTAATCGAGTCTAGAAGAAACCAGAACAGAACAGGATAACCTTTTCCTCCTATATTTGGAACTCATCAGCAGTGTGCATCTACTAGTGAGAATCGAAACCGGACCGTTAGATACGATACAAACTGATACCAACTGCATCAATTAGACTCGATATAGCGCCGCTCTTCACATTCTAAAAAGTCCTCAAATATAGGACGAAACGGGCATCCAGTGCTTCTTGCATTCTGTGGAGGATTATTCTAGACACAATTAATTACAAATATATATATATATATATATATATAGAGAGAGAGGGACGAAACTGGCGTTCAGTCCTTTCTGTGGAGGATTATTCTAGAATCGATATATATATATATATATATATATATATATATATATATATATATATATATATATATATATATATATATATATATATATATATATGTAATTTAAACCGTCAATCCTCTTTTGTAAATCAATAAAGACTAATTTTATTGTTATTTAAAGAGTGAATACACTTGGGCCGTCGTGTAATTGTTTAGGTTGGTGGGCAGGTTTGGTTTGTTTTATGGCATATCAGCACCTCAATGAGTTATTTAATGCCAACAAGGTTTTTATTGCTGTTAATATTTTTTTTTCAAAAATGTATTGTTTTCAAAAAATTTATTGCTGGTATTTAAACCTATTTTGACACTTTCATAGTGTTAAGTATTTGCCCATAGCAGGCACCCGAACAGGTACTACCACCCCGTGTCAGGCTGGACCTGGGAACACTAGCAATTAAGTTTATCGTGATACCTAGGACGGAATTGTTTAGGATATATATATATATATATATATATATATATATATATATATATATATATATATATAAATGAAAGAAAGAACAGATGCTCAATACAAAGTAGAGCATTCTAAATATAGAGCATTTTAAAAAGAAAAATAAATGCTACTCCATCTGTTCTTTCTCTCATTTGGATATTTTGTTTCCTTTATGGTAGTGCTATATTTATTTCTTACGTCAACACAGAAAAAAAAACGACTAAAAGGTGTTCCAAGAACTTGGACTGATTTTAAATGTGAAGTAAGTTTAAGAGTTTAATGATTTTTTTCTTTTTCTTTCAGATTTAACAACTTAAGTCTTTGGCAATTTCAATCATGGAAAGTTTAACAATCAAACAACGTGTTAAATTTATCGAACCCGATTGCGAAATGAACGTTCAAACAGAAATGCATTTCACGCACTTCACGATATTTTTGGTCAACATAATCGACCAACCGAGAGTACAGTTGGAAACGATGTAATGTTGTTGTAGAGAGGTTCAGTTCTTGCGCGCGATGACGAATAGTGGGGTCTGGATTTTCGGTCACATTCTCGTGCACTGCAGCAATGTTTTCAGCTGAACGGCGTAAACGAGCACACAATGGTGTTTTCACATCTGCCACCGACCCAGTTTGTTCGAATTTGCGAATAATGCTAAATCTGAAAAAGAAAAAAAATCATTAGACGCTTAAACTTAATTCACATTTAAAATCGGTCAGTTATTGGAATGCCCTTTACACACACACACACACACACACACACACACACACACACACACACACACACACACACATATATATATATATATATATATATATATATATTCTCGCTCAAAAGATTTCAAATTTTAACAAAATGCAAAATCTAATTAAGTTATAATATATATATATATATATATATATATATATATATATATATATATATATATATATATAATTGCGCTGGTATGCAGAAAATAGAAAAGAAACACGTTGGGTGCATAATCCGGAGTTCCTTAGTATTTTTGTTTTATTTTTAAGAAGACAGTGCTCCATACAGAAGTAGAGTTTATTATAATAATATTTTTTATTTTTGATTCTTCCAAATAAAAGTTCAGTCAAAATAATTATTAAAATTAAGTTGAATTGAGGTGTTTAGTCTCGTTTCATCTTCAAGCGAAATTTTAGGAAACGAGACTAAACACCTCAATTCAACTTAATTTTAATAATTATTTGGGCAATTTCGGCTTTCGTTTTTGAAACATGAGAACTTTTATGTAGGAAGGAATCATATTTTAAACAAAAATATTATTATTATATATATATATATATATATATATATATATATATATATATATATGTGGTGTGTTTAATGGTTTTTTTAATAAGATTTTTAGAATGTTCAGGCTGGTAGATGAAATTAAAAAACTCTTAAAATAGTAGTGTCTACTCAAATATGAGTATCCATTAAAATAACGTTTAAAGTGATTAGAATATGTGGGATTAATTAATAAAACCCCAATATTTCTTTAGAAATATGTTAAGATTGTAGTCATTGAGAAAACATTGAGAAAGAATCAGGTACTTACTGAAGCGGTGCAGGAACCTAGCATTTTTTCAGCATCTTTAGCGATCGATTGTTCCACATGGTTGAGTTTAAGACCCAAGAGGCGCTTAAGGCACGGTGTGTGTGTGTGTGTGTGTGGGGGTCCCACAAGAGTATATCCATACGAATTTGGTGGAAATTCAGAGTCTGCTCGGTTTGTTTTTGTTTTTGGTTTTCTTTTGGGGTACATGATTTGCTGGATGTGCAATGTTCTTCTCCATTTAAAAAGATTTCACCCACTGGTATTATTTGATATAGTAAGTCATAATAGTGTTTTGATATCTTTCTATGGTTATAGTCTACAATGATTTCGCTGCCTTCACATATATGGAATGTGCAACTAAGTCGGTTTATGTTTTAATTAGTATCTATGTATTTTCCTTGGTCTTCTATCTATCTATCTATCTATCTATCTATCTATCTATCTATCTATCTATCTTTGTCTGTCCATTATCTATCTATCTATCTATCTATCTATCTCAGTCTATTCATATCGATCTTTTTCCTTTTGATCATTATCTATCTATCTATCTATCTATCTATCTATCTATCTATCTATCTATCTATCTATCTCCCCAATAACACTTAAGCCTAGAATCACGATGCCTGTATTAACAAAGTATTAGATATTTTTTATTCAACCTACTTACGGTTGTTGGCTTCAGGATAGCGAATTTGTGCGTCTTCGAAGGACACACACCAAAGAAATCTCGAAAGAAAGTAAAAAAATAAATAAATAGACGTCCATCCTATCAAATTGCAAGCGGCAAAATCTAGCGGTGCAAGACTTGAAAAAAAAAATACAAAAGCAAAAAGAGGCCATCGTGATAGAGATTACACAAAATATAAGTGAATGAAAGCGTTTCGAAGAATATAATACTCGAAGACCTGAGGAAACATTCAATATTCATTTTTCCCTTCTTTTTGCAACATTTTTTTTCATTCTCATCTCAATTTGGTTTCGTTTCTGGCGTTTTTTCTTTGTTTTGTTGCGTCGCTTTCCATTAAATGAAAAAAAAAATCATCACCAATAAAAACAACAAACAAACCAAACAAAAAAAAACCTTTTTCTGTCTCTGCCCTCCAAATTATTTCTTCTAAATATGAACACATTTCATTTCTTTTTACCTCAATCTAAAAAGGGAGTTCTGTCACGAATGTCGACTCTTAACAGACATTTTTTTTTCTTTAAGACGCCATTTTTTTCTCTGCTTTTATTTTCGGGTTTTAGTTTATTTTGTTTGTTTTCCATTTACTAAAATTCATTTTTTACACTCTCCATCCCTTCATTCCGACTCTCTGTTCTTTCTTCCTCTCTTTCATCCTGAATAAAATCAAAATTCCATATTTCTTTCTTTGTTTTTCTTTCATTCCCATTTTTTTTATTTCTTTTCCCGTTGAAATTATATTTTATCATTCTTTCTTTCTTTCTTTCTTTCTTCTTTCTTTCTTTCTTTCTTTTTTGTTTCTTTCTTTCTTTGCTTGTTTGTTTCTTTATTTCTTTCTTTCTACGGGAATAAACTCAAAATTCCATATTTTCTGTCTTTCTTTGTTTTTCTTTCTTCCATTTTTTTCTTTTCTTTTCCCGTTTCAATTTTACTTTCTTTCTTTTTTCCATATAAATAAACTCAAAATACCCATACTCCTGCTTTTCCTCTTCTATTTTCCTTTCTTTTCTTGTTCCTCTTTCTTTCTTTCTTTCTTTCTTTCTTTCTTTCTTTTCATATAAATAAACTCAAAATCCCATATCTCTGCCTTACTTCCTTTTTCTTTCTTTTTCTATTCTCCCTCATTTCATGTTCACAATTCTTTTTCTCGCACTTTTCTTTCATTATTTCTTTTTATCTTTTTTTATCTTTTTTCTCAATAACTATTTCTAGTCGATTTTTACGGATTCTCTTTTCTCTCTTCCCTTCTAACCATTTCATTGTTATTTCTTATTTAGCATCAACACACAAAGCACATCTAGCTTCTGCTATAGCTTCTCTAATATATATATATATATATATATATATATATATATATATATATATATATAAAAAATGAACATTGAAGTCAATATTCAGAGGCGACAGACTGTTTCATGCTAAACGCAGCCGTCAGGCCTGATGCACACTAAGCAATAACGGTCTCGCTCAATTCCGTTGTTAATAGCAGAGCGTGGAAGGAAAGTGTGTAGAGTGCGGTCGTCTCATCAATAATCATATCTTGTGAAACAGTTTTAACCAAGACAACAATTCCAAGGTTAGACAACCACCATATTCCCCAGATACTGCTCCTAACGATCTTTTCTTTGCGAAAATTAAATCTTACTGGAAAGAAAGAAGATTTCAAAATGTTGAGCAAATGTGTATGTGTGTATATATATGTATGTATGTGTATATATATATATATATATATATATATATTAAATATATATATATATATATATATATAGGTTAAAAATGTTGATGTATATGTGTATGTGTGTGTATTTGTGTATGAGCATGTGTATATATGTATGTATGTGTGTATATATATATATTTATATATATAGGTTAAAAAATGTTGATGTATATGTGTATGTATGTGTATTTGTGTATGTGTGTGTGTATATATGTATGTATGTGTATATATATATAGGTTAAAAATGTTGATGTATATGTGTATGTGTGAGTATTTGTGTATGTATTTGTATATATATATATATATATATATATATATATATATATATATATATATATATATATATATATATATATGAACACCTGAGGCGGTATAATGGTTGGCAAGATTGGCTCGTTAGATCAATTGCGACAGAGTAGTGAGTTCGTTCCTCACTGGGTGCCCCCTAATTTCGGCTTTGTGCCACTGTATATATGTATATATATGTGTGTGTATATGTATGTGTGTGTGTGTGTGTGTGTGTATGTATATATATATATATATATCTGTGTGCATGTGTGTGTGTGTATATATGTATGTGTCCTATTTTATTGTGTATATCAATTTATATTTACGTATATTTCTGTTTGTATGAACGTGTTTATATATGTATGTTAGGGTATATGTATATTGGTGTGCGCAGGTATTTGGATCTATGTTTATGTATGTATATGTATGTTCGTTTATATATGTATTTGGTTGAATGTCGTATTTATATGTATGCACGTATATATTGGTACTTGTTATTATAGATAGGTATATTTATGTATTATTTATGTTATTATAGATAGGTATATTTATGTATATGTTTATATGTAGATATGTATGAATGTGTATATATATATGTATGTCTGTGGATGTATATGTGTGTGTTGACACCTATTATATATGAGATTGTTTGTGTGTATGTGTAGGCATGGAAACTTTATTATGTCATTACTGCCACAGTATTTAGTCTGTGTGTGTATATATGTTCATATGTGTATTGGTGCATGTATTTATGTGTTTATATATGTTAGTATGTGTGCATAAATGTGTGTATATATGTGTATATATATGTTTATATGTATGTATGTGTATGTGTACTTGTTTTCATAGATATGTATATGTGCGTATATGTTTATGTTTATATATTTATATGTATGTATTTCTGTGTGTATATATATATGTATATATATGTATATGTATGTATGTATGTATGTATGTATGTATGTATATTTGTGTTAGTTTGTGTTTGATGCCGCGTGTATATATGTGTATATATGTATATACGTATGACAGTACACTTATTTCTGTAGGTTTTCTTTATCCTGTTTTCCTTCGCCTAAGATATAATGAAATTATTATCAACTTATATGATTAAAATATGTTTTTATTGATATTTGTGGTTTTGGAATTTTCATTTTAATATATTAAATAATATTATCTTTAACCATTTTTAGCTTTGTATATTTGTTCGCTTAAGTTATATTTTAATAAGTGGCTAGCATTTATTTAATGATACTTTAAGTCTTAAATATTTATTGGTTGTGCTATCTGATTGTCTAGGTCATTGTCTGTGGATGTGTGTACATGTATTTATCGGTGTCTATGTGCATGGAGAATGCATTCACATTTAATTGTGTTTGTGTATAGGTGTTGGTTTCCACGTTTCCTTTTTCATAAAGAGCTGTGGAGATGTTCCTGTTTCGTCGCTTTTTTTGTGTGTATATATATATAAATATGTTTGGGTGCTTATGTATTATAATCTGATTGTGTTTTTGTTGTTTTGCGAGTGAGTTTAAGACTCCATTCACACACTTGGGATTAAAATATATATATACATGTATTGTCAAATGACCGGATATTGTAACGTCTGGTCGTACGTAATTTCAACGAAGAAATAAATTGAATAACATATGTATTTTTTCTTTTCTCAATAATTTTATAGTTTTTAAACTTAACAGTGATTAAATTTGGATTTTAAAATTGGCAGTTTTTAATTTTAATATCAAATTTTATCATATAATTTAATAATTATTGGTTAGAATAAATTCTTTTTAATATTACCCGTATTTTAAAGATCTGAATAGCTATTATAACATGATTTCGTTGTCAAGCTTTTGAATCTTCCTATACAGCGTAACCCGGATGTAAGAGAGTTGTCGGGACCGGAGAAGAAGTCTCTTATATGCGGGTTTCTCTTATATCCGGGTTTGATCTATTTTATATACATTAACACAGGCTCTAATTTGGGACCAGAGAAAATCTCTCTTATATCCGGGTTTCTCTTATATCCGGGTTACACTGTACTTGGATTTTGATTGGTCATTCTAGCTTTTGTAACAATGTTTTTCCCCTAGCGAAGGATTGTTAATTAATTTGAAACTTTTAAAACCATTTATTTTATCATCAACATCATCACTTGATAAGGCACCGAGGGTGTTGAAACAAATGGCTATTTTTGTAGTGATTTTATAACATATTTATGTTATAATTTTTTTTTTTTATAAATAGTAATTATATCTGCTCTACTTTGCATTGAGCACTCTTTTAAGAATAGTAATTGTTGGTTATTGGAATTCATTCCGTATACACCAATTATATACATGGTTATATATGTATATATATATATATGTATACCAGGTGTAACAGCTAAGTTGTCCTGATCGTGTACTAGAAAAATGTCTAATTGTTAGGTTGAACTGTTTTATCTTAGAAAAGATTAAAGATATGTTACTGGAATATGTGTTGTAGTTTTCGTTTTATAGCACCAGTCCCAGTAATACATATATATATATATATATATATATATATATATATATATATATATATATATATATATATATATAGAGAGAGAGAGAGAGAGAGAGAGAGAGAGTATGTGTGCAACAGCAAAATTATCCAGTTGAATCTTGGAAAAGATTAAAGATGTAATACTGGAATTCTCCGAGGTTTTTATGACACTATTGGACTCTATTCTGAGCAATAAGAATGTATAATTACTCTTCAAGTTCAGCAAAAGAATCGTGATGAAATCGATCATAAACGATCGTATTAATTAATCATATTAAGGATCGGAAACTTATGAAGGATTAAAATTAAGTTCAAATATATATATATATATATATATATATATATATATATATATATATATATATTATTCCAGGATCATTTTC